AAACTGTTATAATCTGTAAATAGTATTAAAAAAAAAAACAGTATAAAAGTCGGTTACACAATCTAGCTGTGTCCTTGTTTGCTCTGTTTCAAGGTCACCGTGATCATGTTAGATTTAAACAAACACTACAATTTAAGAATTAGGATACTCTTTTTATTTGTTGTCGTTTCACTTTTTTTTTCCACGTTGTTTCCATTAATGTGCATCCTGAAAGTGTTTTTGATACAGTAGCCATCTGTTTACCAATCACCCAGCTGGCGAGCAAGACAAAAAAATAAAGACATTTTGTATATGACCTCCTGTATATTTAATTAAAATATTTTACTATCTATACGTTTCCTCGGTTGTGTTCTTTAACTGAACTGCAGATAAAAAGCGAGGGCTGAATAAACTGATATTTAATGCCAGTGTACTAAGGCCAATGTAATGTTCTTCTTTCCTGAGTAAATGCAGTGTGAATGGGGTTTTATTATTGTAATACCATTATCTGGCTATGAGATTCCATCCGCCTTAATCTTCACAACAGGCTACTTCTGGGCTCAAAGCCAGTGTAGCCTCTCCAGTATTTGCTGCAGTCAGAAAAATGTGCTGGTGCATGTATCTCTATGGGCTGCAATAAAAGCTATGCTTTGACTTTTATTGCCACCCCCTGGTAAACCTTTACCATGAAAAATATTCAGTAATACTTCCAAGCTCAGCAAAAATAAAGCAGCCTCACCAGGGTAGAATGTAGGCCGTTTTATTGCAGATCAGCAATAATAAAAAATACAGTTTGCTTCCAAGACAACAGCGAACAGAGAGTAAGGAGAAAATTGCACTTTTTGAGGAACAAAAATTACTACAGTATATTTTACATTGCACTAGACACAAATTATACTGCACAAGAGACAAGACTAATATAAAGTATCACTACTTACGAGTACATAACAGTTCCACTTAAAGTCTAAATAATTAATGTGCTGAAAGTAAAACTGAGTAGACATGGAAGTATAATGCCATAAAGAAGTTAGTACAGAACACTTAATCAAACAATACGAAAATAAACCCTACAAATTACTGCTGGTACCATTATGGCTGCTGTGTAATTCAATGAGAAATGAGAAGACATTTTTAAAACGCATCATAAATGAATATAAATTTGGCTCATTAGTTTAGCTAAGATCAAAGTGAGGATGTTCAGACTTAAGTCATAAACACATTACATTACAGAGGCAACTTATCCTACACTGGTTGTATTAAAATTAGTCACGAGGGCTGCACAGTTCATCGTTCAAAAATAATAAACAGGAATGTTGGACCAGAAAGAAAGCAAGAAAACTTACTAAAAAGGCTGAGATGCAGGATGTGCAATATAGTTACGTTACCCTGTAAGCGAGAGAGAAAGAGGAGTGACCTAAAGAGCGAGTGTGTCCGGTCCCATGGCCGCGGGAAGCAGGTGTAGCACCCCCTAGTGGCGAAAGGATCATTTTTATAGTGTTGACACGACTTGTACTACTGTGCCTTAGAGTGACTTAATTCTTACCTAAAACCTAACCATTCTCACTCCTCAACCAATCCAACCAACAAAGGCAACGATCACTAGCCATTCAGAGGCAGAGTAGGGCGGGTCATGTCAACTCTATGGTAGGATTCCTAAATTTGCGTGCTGTTGCTGCTGTAGCACTGGCAGCTAAGTGAAGGGCCCAATCCCAATGTCCACCCTCACAGACTTGGAGGCGCGTTCCCGGTAAATTCTGTGAGTGCTCTCCAACAGACATTTTGAGCCCTTTAAGCACACTTTCAGTAAGTCTTTCTGCAGACTTTGCCTGAGGGAATTACACAAAGTTGATAGCGTTTTGACGTTAAACACGGGGTTACCATGGTTACCAGGGGTCGCCCGGAAGCGTAAACGCCGGCCGACAACGGCCATAAAACGCAAACATGGAGAGAAGGGAGGGAATAAAAATGAACAATCAAAAGTCCCAAACCTACAGTTGAATGTAAATGTTTTGGCATGATCAAGGTAACGTAATGTAAATGCAGTCCCATTCCTCTTTATACCATTTTGAGCCCTTGCAGCCTCTGGCACTCAATCACTCACCAGGTGATATCAATTAAGTCTGTGAGGGTTCAGGGTTTAGGGGGGACATTGGGATTGGGCCAAGGATTAATTCATAATGGTGCAAAATGCATTTTAGATTTTTTGGGCAAACCACCATCTAAAAAGGAGTCCAGTTGAAGTCCAGCCTGCCCAGGACAGCAGCACGACCAGCACTCCATCGCTTTCGTTTGGTTTTACTTTTGTGTCCGAGACGGAGACCGCAGCCGACAGCACCGACCGGAGAATGAGCCGCCGCCACTGAGGGGCCTGCTACTACCAGGTGTCTGGCTAGGACCGACTTGGCGGCATTTGAGGAGCTTTTCCAGCCATCTAACTTCAATTTTCCTGCCTTACACCAACTTGGTTCGCCTTCAGGTTTTTCACTACACCTGGTGGAATACTGGTCTGCGCCTGCCCATCTCTGTGGCCTCATCCAGCCGACCTTCTCCACCTTGCTTCACTTGAAAACATTGCCATCAACACCGTGACCCAGAAGAGACTAACTCACCTCTCCATGATGCATGTCCACAGTGACATTTTGAACTCATTGGACATCCATGCCCCATCCACACCCAACGCCCAAGCGCAAGGCCACCTTTGGATCATTGTAACTACTGGGGCGCACTGTCTGCAGCTCAAGGTAAGATATTTAGTTAATTATAAGCTGCCGCCGAGCAGTTTAACAGTCCATTGTCAATACATCTCATTACGCTGATATACATTTGCTGAAAAATGTGCATATTTGGATATGGCCTTGTGTGCTGTGCGCAAAGAGCTTCTGGACGTGTATTGCAAAGCCATGGCATTATTGTTTTATAGACCTTGTTGTTGTTTGGTCTATTTTATAGTAGCATTGTTGTGGGGCTATGTTGTATTTGTATGGAGAGACACCGAATATGAATTTTTTACTAAATAAGCTCCAACATATATTTGTAAAAAATGCTCCTCCTACTACAGCACCCCCAACTTAAAACAAATTCCCGCGGCCCTGAAGTGTCCCATTTTGCTGCCTCTCTCCCTGATTGATTCCAGATCTATTTACAGCCAGAAAAAGCAGCAGGATAAGAAACTGAACTCATTGACGTGCTCTGTCTGTCGACCCCCTCAGCGTTTAAATCACAGCAGCTCCTACACACAACAAACAGCTTCATTACAATCAGCTGTGTGTGCGCACCAGTTGCAAGCATCGGCTATATACGTTAAACTGTGACAGGCAAATTAAATTAAGTACTAATTTAATACTACAAATAATACGTTACCATATTCATAGGAAAACAAATCAAATATGCCTTGACATTTGCAAAGGCATGAGCAATCGGCGATCGTTCTAATGATCGTCGATCACTGATACTATCATCCATCCTCACAACCCTACCAAGCAAAGGAAACACACTGCTAATATTGAGCTGCATCCCCTTTTGTACAATCCATTCTCAGTTCTTTCAAGGCTTAAACTAAATCCTCCTGTAATCCGCCTCCCCCCAAATCTACATCTCCCCCTCTTGATTAAACAGAATTTAGAGGGTGAGATAAAAAAAAGGGACTGTAGCTTTCACCATACTGCTTCATCTGGCCAGGAAATTTCAGGGAAAGTAGCTAAACCTAATGTTTTTGTACACTCTGGTTAATCATGAAGCCTATTCCTCAATGCATGTTTATTAAGTGGTTGAAATATTTAGTAGCTGGCAGTATTGGATATGTTCAAAACACAAAAACAAGGCCATCTTATTTTAGCCACTCAAGACTCATTCATTCAATTATGTTCATAGCCTTCTTGCGCTGCAGTGTTAAATTATATTGGACAAACTGTGTAGCAACTGAAAAGCAAGCTCACCTCATTATTAAGACCTCTGGGAAATGGAGAAGTCACATTAGTGCTTGCAATTGCTCCTAAAATCCTGTTCCCTTAAAATCGTCTATAGTGGTCATAAAGTCGTCACAGTAAGTGGAATAAGTCAATAGTTCCAAAAGGAATGACTCCTCCACAGTGGGCCAGTGGATCAATTCCAATTTGAGTGCTTTTGCAAAGGCTCTTTCTTCGGTCCATGTTCCAGTGGCAGAGCTGAGAAATAAGCCTTTCCATTTTAGTGGGATTGATGATGGTAGTGCTCAAGCCAACATACAGCTTTCAATTTCGTCTATGGGTTAGCTGCACATGAAAAAAGTTTATAAATGGAGATTGGAGTTGGAGATGTATCAATACAATATTGATATTGTGATATGAGGTGTCAACTGGGATTTGGGTTGTCATGATGGATGTAGTGGGAAACTTTAAGAGACCGTGCCACCCACCCATCCTTTAGGTTATACGAATTGTTTGACATTTTGGGAAATACACTTATTCACTTTGCTGCTGAGAGGTAGATGAGAAGATTGATACCACTATCATATCTATCTGTTCATATGAAGCTGGAGCTGGGAGATGGTTAGCTTACCTTAGCACAACGACTGAAAGCAAGGGGAAACAGCTAGCCTAGCTCTGCTCAAAGGTAACCAAATCTGCATGCCAGCACATCTAAAGCTCACTAATGAACAAGTTATATGTCTTTTGTTTAATCTGTACAATAATCAAAGTGATAAAAGTATAAATTTCAGTTTAAAGGGGTTTATGTGTAATACTTTTCATGGCTGGAAGCAGTGACTTTCTGGTGTGGATTAGAGGGTTATTCTTCTGGTGATGACAAGACTGGAAGTCACTGCTCTCAGCCAAGAAAAAGAGTCTGACACATAATCCCCCGTAAAACTGTAACTTAATTATTTTTTTGTACGGATTAAACAAATAAGATATAGCATGTTAATTAGTGACCTTCGGATGTGCTGGTAGGCAGATTTTGTTATGCTTCATCAGAGCCAAGCTAGCTGTTTCTCCTTGTTTCCACTTGTTATGCTGAGCTAAGCTTGCCATTTCGTGGCTCCAGCTTCAAATTTGGCGTACAGATATGAGAATGGTATTAATCTACTCTTACAATTATTGGCAAGAAAACAGATAAACATAATTCCCAAAATGATAAACTATTCCTTTTTAAAAGTTAAAGGGCAAACAGTCATGCCCAAAAAGTCACAGTATCACTATTGAGATGCAGTCATATACATTGTGATATCTGACTTTATCAACATTACCCAGCTCACTTGAAAAGTTTTAGAACAACAGTTAGTTGTTATACTTAGTATTAGTGGTAAATTAGGGCTAGTTGGTTAAATCCAGGTAGGTCACAAGGCTTTAAGGTTCATCCTCTCTCTGAAAGACTTCCTCAGTTTGCTCCTTGGTGCAGGAATGGGACCGTGACTGGGTCTGACAAAGTTGTGTTCAGCTGTGGTTTCAGGGGTCTCGGTGTGATGGTTCTGGTACTCCAGCTGCGGGAGAGGGGGCTGAGGTTGACCTTGTGGTTGTATATCAAGAACGCCCAGTGGAGCATTTTTCCGACTGAGCGCTCCGGCTCCTCCGGTGTTGTTGCGCTGAAGCTGCTGGATGATCGCAGAAAACTTGGCATCCAGAGATGGTCTGCCAGTTTTGGACCTTGTGCCCAGGCGTGAAGCGCAAGTGCTGGAGTTCTCCTTCTCCTGGTATGAGAGAGGAAGAGGATGATGAAGCGAAGCGGGGGGGGGAGGTCTGGCAGGACGGGCGGGAGGAGCATAAGGCTCTCTGTCAGAAGGAGGGGGCGGGGCACGCCGCTTCTTGTTTTCAATGGGTGTAGAGCTGGTGTTGGGGCTTGAGCAAGGGGTGGAGGTTTTACTCTGGGACAGAATACTCTTCTGCACCACCACTGAATGGGATCCATCAAACAGAGTGGACCAATTAGGTGCCTCCTTCTCCTCTTCATGACCAATTAGAAAGCAGCCATCTGTCTCCTCTATCTTGTTATGGATAATGTCAGTGATGCTCTCAAATTTGGTAGGTGAATTTATACCTGCAAGACAAACAAATTGAATAAATATTGAAATTAAATACATTAATTGAGTGTCAGTTTTGTGTCTTTTTCCAAGCTTGATGTATTATGAAAATGAAATATCACAATGACACATGAGCACACATTCTAATTATCATGTAAAAGGATTTTATTTACATGCGTCACCACTGAAATTAAAACTATTATGCATGGTAAGTGGAATATATTCATTTCAATGAGATGTTTTAAGTACTCAAATAATGTGTGCTATAAATGGATACATAAATAAAATGCAAATGAAAATCCTGCAAAACATTCCCCATCAAGCAAGCAGCGAATTATCAACCTCCATCTAACTCATTTTAGCCACTCGTCCCAATTACTCTACTCACTGAGGTCGTTGTAAACAGAGTCAGCCTGCTTGGTGAGGAAGAGTGATGGTTTCCGTGGTGATGTGACCTCGATCTTCATTAGCTGGTTGCAGCAGTGCAGCCACTGGCCTGGTTATAAACAAGGAGAGTCATGAGAGGCAAAAATAAAAGCTTGTACTATCTGTTCTTGCTAAGAGGAGTTTAGCTAAATATATGTGCACCCACTATTTTAGTTTCACACTGCACCTTCTCTTCATACAAACTCAAACTCATCCAAAACTTTCATAGAAACATACTAACATGTTCCAGCTTTGTACATACATGTATTTTATGTAACCTATAATTTTTTTTATATACACATACAAACGTTTTTGCGGTATGTTTGGACAAAAACCCACTCACTCTGATCATAGAGATGCTGGTGGAGGGCGTCCAGCCAGTCCTCCAGTTCCTCCCTGGTGTCTGTGGTGAAGACAACGGTGTGAGATCCCTCTGGTGAAGGGTTGATGATTGACAGACTCCTGGATTTATGGCCTGCTGACTCCTTCTCCATCACACGGATCCGAGTGCCCTGTGGAGACGACAAAAAAACAAACTTACCATAAGATGAAAATGAGCTCCACAGTACACAAATGAGAGCTCTGAGAGATATTACACTAAAAAGTACATCGCTGATACTGCAGAAAAAAATTAATTCAGCAGCAAAATGCCAAAGATGCAAGCAAGATCTTAGTGAGTAATGTGGTATTTTGTGTTTTGGTTATTCTGCAAATGTTAGGCAAAACTAAGTTTTAAATCAATAATAATGGATTATGTTTTTATTTAATCCAAATGTCCATGAACCACACAATTACAATAGATATAATTATGTTGTGATAGTAATTACAATAACAGGGATAACAACAATATCTATTCCTGGTGTTTTTTTATTTACATTTTTACTTTTCTGCCTTTACATTTATTTATCTAATAGAAGACAGAAATGTAGCCATAACTTCTTCCATTACTTTAATGTTTTGTTAGTTGGTAACAAATGGAAATATCTTATATATTTTTAAAATGAACAATGAACCTTTTTGTAATCTCTACATTGCTACTGTGGTAAGGTATTTCAAAATGCCAGTAATTTCAATAGAACAACTGTGAGCAAGAAATACAAGTGAGTGTGGAATGTGAAGGTCTGAATTTTCACTATTCTGTCTCACCTTATTGATGGGTACATTGAGAGTGGGCTGCACTTTTGCATCAATTTCTTCTGGGGTGAAGTAACAGGACAAAAAGCCAGCACTCAAGACACAGTAAAGACTGCAGCAGCGGTTCAGTCCCTCCACACTTTGCTGTAAATCACCAGAAAGAAACAATGAAACTGAAGTATGTAACCTTGAAACAAGCTTCTTGGGTAATGCTAATGGTAACAGCAGTCAACACACCTTCTGGCTCAGGTAGCCGCTCATCATGCTCTGTGTCATACAGGCAGGCTGGGCCACCAACCGGCAGCAGAGGTTGCCATAAAGTGGAAGCCAAGATGACCACTCGGCTGTGGGGTTCAAGAGCAACAGTGTAAATAAAACCCCAAAAATATAGAGATCTACATACATTAATCTTAATTATAACATGCTTTATGTTAAGATAAATTTAAAAATCATTAAGAATAATTTCAATATTAAGAGAGAAGATACAGTAGTTGCAATCTTTTTTCATCATAAAAAGTGTAGTTTTAAATGTCAAATACCCAGGGCAGAGATGAGGGAGCGTCCTGTTACATGAGCCTTTAACGATAACACTCATTTTTAATTCTGTGGAGTTGACCACCAATGAACCACAGTTCAAACTCATACCAAAGGTTTACCCCTGAAAATAGAGCTGAATAACAAAAACGTGCCTGAGCACCAACTTTCTTATCCCTTTAATCACTCATGCATAGTAAGAAAAGTAATCCAAGCTAAACTTCAATCATCAGTTATTTTGTTTAATTTTAGCTTTCAATTTTAATGGTGTGAAAATATTGTATTATTGCCCTAGTACCGAATCAAATCAGGAGCTAAAAAGCATAATCCCTTTATATCCCTAGATATTAAATGTCTGTGCCTTTGTCTCTTACCGTTTTGGAGGACAATGAGGGAATGAGACTGGAAGCTGCCTTCAGCCTCGGGTAGAGACAGAGTAGTGTAGGCCAGGAGGCTGTACTTGGCTCCACTGGTACAGGTAGACGCACACACAAACACATACATAGAGTAGCATTATTTCATGTATACTGCATTGACTTATTTTCATTTCTTGGCTTCTCAGGCTTAAGATTCATGCTCAACTCTAATTCTAACAATAAAATCATAAGATACATTGATGTACAAACCTCTAACCTTAATATGTGCACATGTGAATATGCAGTATTTTGCTGCCTCATTCAAAGGCTTAATGATCCCAATACTCTCCTTCCACTGAATATTTGGTATGCATCACTTACAGATGTTTGGTTGAAAGTGTCCGACAGTCTCAGACACAAATAAAACACAGTGGGATGCATTAAAAACATGCACTATTTTAAAATAAAATAGCTGTGTAATGAATGTTAAAGCTTTAATTCAGTCCTCTCACTCAGTGAGATTTGTTTACCACCCTGTTGTGCTAGTCTGCAGCTGCATCCTTTGTTCCAGTAACAAGCCATAATCAAGTTCATTCCCAACTGCAAAAACCTTAAATAGAGAGCAAAGAGTCTGTAAAGGGTTTTATGGGATAACACAATACATACGAGGGTATGGGGTTATACTGAAGGAAGGTGTCAGGGTCTGGAGTGTCCAGCAGAGGGCAGAGCTTCTTCCCAGCAGTTTTTCCAAAGGAGTTGCGAAGCTTCTTGGCCAGCTTCTTTGGCGTGTTTACCAAGGTGAGCTCTTCCTCCAGGGCACAGCTCCACAGCTCCACCTTCAGCTCAAACTCAGGAACTGCTTCTTTACTATGAGATGAAAGAAATTGCAATTACAGCATAGATATTAATATTAATATAAACCATTAGATTAAAAACAACTAAAAACAAAACACTAAAAAATTCATAAACAGTACATTTCACTGCACAGAAAATTTGACTTGAAACATCACTAAAAATAATTACATTACATTTACTCATTTGGCAGATGCTTTTATCCAAAGCGACTTACAAGTGAGGGATGTGGGAGGGAATGTGTCAAATACATATGCTGCTATTTATGTTGCTAGATAAAGACAAATTTCCAGCAACATATTCTTAGTATAACTCCACAATACAGATTTTCTCTTGCTACTGTGCAGCAGCACCAAAATGGGCCTTTAAGTGCAGCTTTTCTAAGTGTACTACTCTCCGTATTTGATATGTACAAAATATACTTACAAAATGGTAAATCCCTCAAAGCAGACATCAGTGACTGATCTGTCCACCACAATCATCTCTGTGTCAAACACCTCGGAGCCAATCTGCATCAGACAGAACATCGCCACTCGACGAGAGCCTAATGAATACAAAGGGGACACAAGACGTGCTAGTACAACAATTATACACACAATAACATAAGGGCAAAGCATGAGACAAACTTACTCCCTTTGTTGTTAAAGTGGTCTGAATCCCTCCACATCAAAGGAATACGCAGCCCTACATCAGCAGAGAAGAGCAGAAAGGTCACAAAGCAACACTCTTAAGAGTTTATTTCTAAAACGCTCTATATCAGTTTTGTGGAATTAAATCAGCATTAAAACAATTAAAATCTGACTTAATTTTGAGCTATATACAATATTTTTGTATATATTTTTGAGTGTCCAGTGCTGAATGATTCTGGACAAAGTGGGAGGGACACTTACCAGACAGTGCAATTGTCCCATTACAGGGCACACGGTCATCTGAAACTGGATCTGAAAGTCTGAAACACAAATTTGAATTGACTATAATAATTAATCACAATGTGTATCAATATATCAACTTTACTACAACAAAACAGAACTTCAATTTTAAAACCCTCTTCTAAAATCCTGCAGTCCTATCTTCATTTTTTCCCTTTGTTCACCATAATTCTTCACTGAACTTGAGATTTATATTCCATATACATTACAATTTGATCTATATATTTTGCTAATTTGTACTGAAACTGAACGCCAATGATTGCAAGTGAAAACTCACAGCAAGAATACAGCAAGCACCCAATTCCTTACCTGTTGACTGCTCCCATCATGTCCTGCTCCTCTTTTTTCTTCTGCAGCTGAGTGAAATAAGCCTTGATCCTGGCATTACAGGTCAGCAGGTTCTTGGAGGCATTAAGAACCTGTTCTCTCTTACTGCAGGCGAGCAGCAGCTTATAGGCCCCCTCTCGCATTCGCACCTCAAAGTCCAGCTTTTCTTGCAAGTTAGTGTTCTTCATGGTCATAACATACACAGGAGAAATTTCAAAATGACCAAATTAATCCATGTCAAAATACAGGCTGATGGCTTGCAATGATATTTTGAATTGTGTTAGTCTATCAAACAATATGCTATAGCAGAAGGGGATGAGATGGACATGATGATTTTGCAAAACTGGAGTTGAAGTGAAGTTGCCCTTGAACGTTGTTTTTGGCTAAACAATAAAAATACCTTCTAGTGTTGAAGGTGTTGCATCACTTTGGTGATCTAAAGTCAGCAAGTAATGCGTATAAATTTCAGTTACACAAACACTTTTTAGACATCCAGAATCTTCTTCCAGCCTTCACCTTGTATGCCTCTGTATCTGGAATGATGACGTAAGGTACAACCTTTCTGGCACAAACAAGCTAAAGCTTTCACAGTTCCTTGCGAATGACAGAAATATGACAGAATAGTACAGGTTTTTCTAGAAATGTGATCTTCTCGTGCCACTGGTAGCTAAAACCACACTCAATCTGACAATGATAGACTTATGTAGGGCTGCAACTAAAGGTTGTTTTCCTTATTAATTAATCTGAGGACTATCTTTTATCAATTTTTCATTCTGTCTAAAAATGACAGAAGAAAATGAAAAATGTCCATCCATTGTTAGAGTGCAAGGTAACATTGCACCCTAACCCTGAGAAATAACTTAGAAATTAATCAATTATCAAAATAGTTGCCAACTATTTCTCTATCAATTTATTAACTAATTTTTGCAGTTGAATGTTTAGAGATTTTAGACTTGTAGCAGTGAAGCCAAAGTCTTTTCATCACTCAAGAGCAACTTTTTGTAGTAGAGTGTGAGGTGAAATGATGCATGCAAGAAGGATCAAGGGGTTTTATATTGACTATAATGCCAATGTGATGAATGGGAGTAGAATCACATTAAGTACAAAAACCTATGTAGATCATAAGCAATTTTGATGGCATAAAATGCAGAATGGAAATGTATGAGTGGCATACTGCAAAGAACAGGTCAGCAGTTGTTGGAAAAATGTATTAGGGTTGGTCTAAACTAATAAATGAAGTGGCTTGAATGGAGTATGATGATGTCCGATATAATTTAGTTTGAAAACTAAAGCTAAATTAAAAATATCCCCTTTTCAATTTGGTATGGAAATTTGAATTGCTGTGGGTTATAAACTGTCCAGATGTACATGCACAGTTGTACTGGGTATTCAAAACATCATCATTCTCCATATTACCATCTAAAATATGCACCTGTAACTTCTTAGAAATCTGTCGTATGTACAACAAATTCATATCCTCTACTATCTGCAGAGTGTCATTCAGAAGACTTGGGCATCGTTTCATGCTTTTGGCCTGAAAGGACATTAGTTTGAGCGGTGTTAAAACAAAGGCAAGAGCATTATTTCGTTACATGCTTAGCAACACAATGCAAAGAGTACATGGATCTGGTTTCGGGGGAACTGAATAAAAGGGGGAACTCCCCTGTTGGACAACTGGTACAAACCAGCTTTATCCCAAGGAACTGAAAGCCAATGTCTGTTGGTGTGTGTGAATGTTCGAGACAGACGTTAGAAAATTCAGTCGTTATCTACAAGTTTTTTTTTTTGACACAGGCTACCGAAAAATCTGTTTGTTACTGAAGCTGTGTTAACTAAAATCGAACCTGGCTTATTCAAGTTAGTATCGTTGTACTTTGGACGGCCCCCGGCGTCAACTTCGCTGTCACTATGGTTTACGTCAAAACACACAAGACCTCTCCGAATCTCTTTGCCCATACCTCTGTTTGCAGGAACAAGGTGCTCTGTCGTATTTTCTTCCGTTTAATCTCCATAGCCACCGCGGAACCGGCCGATAATAACGACCTGGAGCTCCCGTTTCGCTTGGAAGTTTGAATGTCCCGCGGATCGTCCATATTGTCAGTCAATTTGCTAGTAACAGCACAACCAGCACATTCCTGCTCCAACCTCTAACGGACGGGGCTGTTCGATTTGTGCGACCTTATCTACCGGAAGGAAATGTTGACCGGCAACCAAAGGGTAAGACCATTTAAATGTACAGTACAGCTTCGCTATAAATTATCATGCTATTTGGGAAAATTAAACATATAAACATCACACCCATGATTTTTAATATGCCGAAGCTTCAAATTAACTTGATATTTCATGGAAACATCCAGCCTTTAACTACAATAAAAGTAGGCGCCGACTTAATAACTGACCTTGAAAAAACAACCTACTGTTTAAAATCACAAAATATTTTTTAAAAAGTACACAGGGTTAGATATACTGTTCAAAAATAAATGAGACAAACGCCCCGCCTTTTCAAGCGGCACGGCCCTATTTATAAACCGAGTGCTTTTACGCCAACAAGGACGTAACGTCTTTACGTCACTGTGCCAGACAAAACAAGAGTGTAGCGTTCCGATTTTGAATTTTTTTTCGCATGGTTATAAATTATCTTATGCTTTAGGCAATTTGTTTTATTGGAAGTATACATTTAAAAAACACCCTTTTAAAATAATAACAAATTTAGTCTTCATCGTTTAATTTTCTTTTTTGGTAGTTTGGAAAGGATTTTATAACGTTAGATGCAAACAAAACATTTTGCCAGTAACCTCCAAATGAACAGATTAGGCCGTCTTTTCGGTCCGATTAGGTTTTCATAAGCGTTTATTTGCAATGACAGTATTGTCATTAAGCGGTGTACAAATAAATATAGGCCTATAAATACTTTTAAGTGTTGGCCAACAAAACGAGCCGGTGATACTATTATGTTCTTGAATTTCAACATCCTCATTTAATTAGATCGTGTCTGTAGTTGTTGCAGGGTATACTCATTCATTTGAGCTGCGCATCATGCAGCAGGCACTGCCATCATTTTCAGTATCAAATATAATATTGCCAGCGGCTCAGCCCAGCTAATGGTACAGTAGCAAAAGACCCTGAAACGTGACCAGTGGGTCCAGGAAACCCGCCCACCCGGTTCTGCCTGACATGGACTTCTGGTAGAGTTGGAAGCATCCACGGTTGGAAGTGTAGACGCAGGCGCTGCTGAGGATGAACGATGTGAAGCCAGACTCAAACACACTCAAACACAGGAAATGACGACATACGCTTTCAAAATTAAAAGCTGAATCAGATGAGCTGCATATGTAATTTGAGTCAGTCCGTGCACAATGTCCGCCTCTGCCATCTGTAGAGAATTTTCTTCTACATCCCCCTGCCTTAAACCGTGCATTTCAGTAGGCTATATTTCATCCTGTACAATTTACCATTACATTTGGAAGTACCTTGCAGCTGCAACTCATTTATGATAGCCCAAACAGTATGATTGTCTCAGTTGAAAACTCCATGAATACATATGTTCATCTTCAGTACTTTTAGCCTGCTCCAAAGGAAATTCACATCATGCCTTTCATATTTTCCTGATTTACAGCTACTCCAAATTTCCTTCTTCAGAAGTTTTTTGCAAATCAAAAAAGTTATAAGGCAGACAAGGTAACATCAGTTACATGTGTATTTATTTCAAATCAATTTATGTGGACAAAAATATCTGCACACACTTGTAGAAGCTATATAAATATTGTTTATATGAGCTCATGGCACACAAACATAGTCCACATAACAAAGCATACTTCTTATTAGACACTGATGTATATGTTATATGGGTTACACACATCAGGACAAGGTTTGCAACTCAAATACATTTTACATTAATAATATAAAATCTTTTTAGGTGTGTTCTGTTGTTGTGACTCAGGGTGCAATAGCTCTTCAGCTAAAGTTTGTTTTTATTTGCAATTTTGAATATTTATATTATTAGCAAGCATATGTAAACAAGTACTGTTGGACCAAATAAATAGTTTGGTGTGATTTAATTATGAAATGCAGGAATCCTTTCACAGTGTCAAGGCTTGAATAAGATGACTACCTTTATCTTGTGATCAGGGTATAATGTAGGAAAAATGTGATGGATACAGTACATTGAGAAAAGACGCTGACGTATTTTCTAATGCTCATACACTTAACTATTGGCTACTTTGATCACCACAAGAGATGCACGTGTGTACTTGCTAATTCAGTTAAAGGCATGACACATTAATTAAAAGGACAAGGGGGGGGGCGGGGGGGGTAAAGCTGTGTATGGGGCCCAGATTGTGCCACACAACTTCCTAGAAACGAAGCCTGTCATTTCAACCATGAGCTCTTCTGCATGATGTTTTCGCTCTGATTTTATTGTGAAAGTTGTGACCGGTAGTCCTGGTTGTTATCCCCGCAGCTGTGACGCTTCTGTCAGGACGTGGGTCCGCTCGCCGCTCTCTTGCAGGGAGCAGCGTTACTGCTGAGCAACGGAAGGGGAGAAGGCCGACGCACAGAGCCAGACTGAAGTGCTGCAACGGCAGGGCTGGGCTCCTCACACACACACACACACACACACATACACACACACACACCTTCAACAGCAACACACACCAGAAAGGAAAAAGGGTAAGTGAGGAGTGGACTTTTACTTTTATTTAGCGAACAGTAGAATATATAACCTAACAGTATGCTTTTAGCTAGGTAGTCGACCGTTAGACTCGGGTGAAGTTTACGCTAGAGAAAAAATAGAAAGAGTCGGTTTTCTGCTTTTCTGCTGCCCATCTATTGATGTCTGTGTGGGTGCTCATGTTGATACAAAATTCTCGGTAGATTTTAGAGCGTCTCCCATTAGAAACACAATACCTGGATTCAAATTGGTGTACAACCTTTAATAAACAAGCTCAACAAACACCCAGTCGTGCTTAAAACGGCTAAACAGACTGGTCTGTCTCCCTGTTGGCTAACTGGATGGCTACTATTGTCAGCAGCAGCAGCAGCATGACCAGTCTGCCCTGCTCCGCCTTTGTAAAGCGACACAGCCTCGCCACTTTGCTGTCTCTGTTGGAAAAAAAACGGTCACATTTGCCCTCTATGCTATTATTATTTGTTATTGACCTGTTTTTTTTAGTTGCATCCTCCTGTAAACGCACGGAGGCTACAGAGACAGGATGCACATCAACGAAGGACGATCACATTGAGCGCTTTGTGTTTAACTTGTCTCATTAGAAACATAGCAGCGTCGGGGTGCCCTTTGTGTCTCTTTATATTTCCTGAAGGGTAGATTATATGAGTAGGTATTTGACTGTAATGTAGCTGCAGAGTGTTTCCCGATGTCAGACCCCCTCCTCTCTCTCCTGTGTGGAGGCTTTGTTTTCGTGGGGGCAGATGTAGCTGGCCTACATGCATCCGCTCTCTTTGTGTTGAGTTAGAGTTTTGCTGTCATCATCACATAAGATATAAAAACTTTGGGAAATAGCAAGCGATTAGCAAACGGTATGGTGTAAATGCATTATGGTATCTTTAATACTGTCTCATTATACACTGACAAACATCTTTAAGATGCCTTATTTGCATGGATCTTACAAACAAATCTATGCAAGATGTAATAATTATTGCTTACTTATCAGATGACAGACTGTTATGATTTCAGTTCAAATGCTTGAAGCAGACTCATGACAGGTACAAGTTACTCAACTGTTCAAAACATTTGAAACGGAGACATCTATTCTTAGCAGCAGCCTGATTGTATTTATTCGTCCTGATCATTTCCCTTAATTGCATCTAAGGGAGTCAAGGGTACCAATGAGAACTACTTGCATTTCTGGTCTGTGTTTGAAACACAGTTGGCTGTTCATTTACAGGACTGATATGTTCTTTGAAAGCTTCAGAGCTATATGCTGCACATCAGTCAGTCTTGTTAGTCTCCTCCTCCTCCCTCAGCTGTAAGAATTCAAATTTTTTGGGTTTGAGCCATAGAATGTGCAGATAATACCATCCAGTCCAGTTTTGCTCCTTTTTTTTCCTCCTTTCTCTCTTTCACCCTGCCTTTTTCCATCTCCTTCGTGTCCTCTCTGCAAATGCGGCTGCCGGCAGGCTGGTTGGCTCTACAGGCGGTTGCATTTTTAAAAACTGTGTCAGTGTCACAGGACGGTTTCACCGCAGCAATGTCCTAGCTCGACTACCGCCCAGCCTGCCCCCATACCTGTCCATTAACATTGTTAAAGTGCTGATGATAACATAGGAAACCATGTGAATAAATAGAAATAGTGCACTCTATTTTTATATTTGTTGAAGTTGTATTGTGTTGTTCTGTTTTTCTTGTGGAAAACTCTAAACCTTAACATCATATAAATTCCTACAGTCACCAAGCTGACTATTGTTAGCTGCTATTTGTTAACACTCGATGTGCACTGTCATAAGTTTACTATTAATACTGAACAGACACAATAAATTTAAAGCTGGCTATTTCACCTCTGCAACTTGGTATCTCATATCTGATACAACTTGGTGTATGGTTCAGTATCATAATTCTTATGATAACTTGGTGTCCAATGAGTAGTGTGTATATGTAGTAGAGTAATGGTTTGCTTCAATAATATGACCCTATTTTCTATTCTAGTGTATAGTTGGGAATGAGGACTTTGTTGTCCGGCCTGCCCACGGCTATTGTGTATAGTAGGAAGTTTAGGAAGTGAGTTCATTTTACTTCAGTGGCCAGGGAGTTTTATTTGTAACCGAAAACAACCTAATATTCTAATCTATCCTATTCCATTCAAGATGTTTTTGTGTTTAAGAGTATTGTACCAGAGAGTCTATGGTTAAAAATAGCAGTGAATCTGAATCTGATTACTTCTGTAATCTGTATAAAGGGTTATGTGAGTCAGATAGCTTTGCCTGGTGAAGCTCCTACTTGTGTCACAGAGAGAAACAAGGAAGGTGAATAGAAAAGTCTGTGGTAAAAAAAAAAAAAATGGGTAGAGACATCACAGCAGAGCAGAAAACAGAAAAAAACATAATCATCAAGGGCGTGTTTGGCTTTTTCTGACTTCTC